TATCAATAATTACTAGCTTTAATACAATATATTCCTCCAAAACTTAAAAAATAATAACCTGTTTTACACTGTACATTGAGAAAGGAATTTTTAGCCAGCCCAATGAAAGCTGGCTGTAGTCTAATTTCCAGGATATGGATGACTTCTGTGTAACATTTTGCTGGATCAAACAGTCCATAGCTTGATACTGCTGGGCTCTGCTTATGCTCTTACATTCTTATAAACAGCAGGGGGAGCTAGTACCTGCCTGTCCCCCTGCCTGCCATCAAGGTGCTGACATACAAATATCTGTTATATGCAGTATGTTGTAATAAAACACTATCAATTGCTGTGTTGAATCATGATGCTGATATGGGTCTTTTAGGTAATATGTTTTCCTCCTAAATACTTGTTACACTATTTTGGAGATCTCTCTTGTTTTCTTTAACCCCAAATATGTTCCTTAGGACTCCTAAACTTTTAAACAAGTTTTGAAACAGGATTACAAAAAGCTTTTCCCCAACTTTTCTATTAGCAGAAAATTTCCATTGATTTCTTTTGATGAAATTCCCTCTTCTTCCAATGTTACCTCTCATTAAACAAGCTATTGGACAGCAATATACATACATACATACATACATACATACATACATACATACATACATACACACACACACACATACATACATACATGCATACATACATACATTTATTTGTTTTCTTAAGTTTTCATGGGTCTTTATATGTATGGTATTCAGCTTTGTTCAGATATTTTCCCACGTCATTATAGTTGTGCTTTTAAAGTTGTAGCAACGTTTCGGCAGAATCTCTCTCATCTGCCATCATCAGGCTTCTGTACTGTGTTCGTCTGTGAGTCAGACTTTTACAGTTGTTTCAGTTTTAAATTTGGGGCTAGCCTACTGCTGTGCCAGAATGGTTTTTTCTTCATCCTGATTGGTTGGGAGTCTTGGTCTGTGTTTATTGGTCTTGGAGTTTGCTGTGTTCTGCTTGATTGGTGTTTCTAATATCTTCTGTCTGTTTTGTGGCTTTTTTGTGTCTTGATTGGCTGGCAACATTGTGCTCCTGTATTGGAGGCTTTTAGTGCAACTTGGCTCCAAGATAGATAGATAGATAGATAGATAGATAGATAGATAGATGATAGATAGATAGATAGATAGATAGATGATAGATAGATAGATGATAGATAGATATCTTATATCAGTTATATATATATCTTATATCAGTTATATACTTCAATGTTTGAAGCAAATAAAATTTGAGGGAGTTAAAGGGGAAAAGAAAAAGCAAGAATAGGCATGACAAACTATTTACAAACAGGCATGACAAACTTTGCTTACATAAGCATCATTTTTATAAAATTATGTTAGTGTAAATATTTGTAACTATATGAGAAAAATTGTTTAGAATGTTTGGTATCTATAAATCAAATGTTTTAAGGTAACGCCTAATGTTCAGCATACTTTTAATACAATGGTTGCCTTGCAGGTTAAATGGATGATGTATTGGATTGTGTTTGCCTTCTTCACCACAGCAGAAACACTCACAGACATCATTCTGTCTTGGTAAGTTCTTTACCAGTGGTAGGAACTACTTGATGTTGTAATATTTTTTAAATCGGTAATCTAAAACTGGCAATTATATTGTTAGGTATTTTAGTAAAGTATTCTATTTTCTCATTCTTGACCTCTTTGAATGTTTTTTCTAAAGTTTATTTTAATTTTAAATTTTTGCTGGAAATAGTCATTTGCTGTATCACATTTATATCTCATAAATTGAATGTTTGAACTTGGTAATAATATATTATTCTTTCTTCCAAGAGTAATTTTTAAACATTTGGATTCTGGCTCTGAATAAAATGGTTGTTTCTGATACTATTGCAAGTCATCAGTATCTTCTGCTTTGTGAAATAATTTCAAGGGATTTGTTCTCTGAAAACACATTGAGGAGAGAGTTGTTACTCCAATCCTACAGTAATAATTCTGTTTCATACATTTTACTGGCAACTTGTTCAAAAGATGTGAATTATTGGGATATGTACTGGGATGAGAATTGTTGGGTGATTTTGAGGCAAGAACTGGTCATATTAAATCTCCACAGTGATGATGATTTATTGCTATCTGAAAAAAAATATTAAATGGTACAGTAGTTGGTGTTTAATTCTATGTTTGCTCTGTTGGAGTATTTATTAAAATTAAAAATTAATCCAAAATAAGGTTTCAAAAAAGAGCATTCTTGAAAAGAATGAAAGTCAGTTTAGTATAGTGGTTAAGGTGCTGATCCAGGAGGCTGAGTTCTAGGCCTCCCTTAGATATGAAAGCTCACTGAGTGACTTGGGGCCAGTCACTCTCTCTCAGTCCTACCCTTTGTGGTATTGATTCTATTCTATCTATAGTTCATTTTTTTCCTCTCTTTGCTTATTCCATCTGTACTATTCTGGACTGTCAACCTCTGCCTGACTCTAACCTGAGCTTGATTCTAGCTTTTCCATTTCTCTCAGGTTTCCCTTTTATTTCGAGTTGAAAATCGCATTTGTGATCTGGCTGCTCTCTCCTTATACCAAGGGATCCAGTGTCCTGTACAGGAAGTTTGTTCACCCAACGCTCTCCAATAAGGAGAAGGTACTGCAACTTGCCTAATTATTAGACATGAAAATTGAGGAACTTCAAATGTGGTTGGGTTGCAGGAAAAGGACCCTTGAAATCAGTCATGCCCGTGTTTATTCATGCTGAATGAATGGTATCTGGAACTGAGCATAAATAACTTTCAAAATTGCCTAGCTAATATCTGGATACAGCTTATTCAAAAAAATTTCAAGGGAAGGATTCCTATGTGATGATGAAAATAGCACTAACCCAGAAAAGACTTGATGGGAAGATTTCCCTCCTGATTTATTAATCAATGGGCATGAGGGAGATTGCAGGCTATTGGAAAGATTATTGTACAATGAAATGTACTTCATATGCACTCCTTCTTCTCGTCACTAAATAAGTGCAAGAATGCCAAACGCCATTCCTGTTAAAATAATTTATAAAACAATTTTTTATCACAATTGAATGAGACCTGCTAGAAAAATAGTAAGAGAATTTCTCTGCCAATATAAATGGCAACTAGGGTTAGCCTGGGGTCAGATTACCTGAGGGACCACCTTCTCCCAGTGGTTCTACCTATCCAACTAAGTCTGGCAGGTTGGACATACCCCCGTTAGCCAAGGAATGTCCAACTGGTGGGAACTAGGAGACATGCCTTCTCTGCCATAATTCCCATTCTCTAGAACATTTTCCTTTCAGCGTTGAGGATGACCCCAAGCCCATTGGCTTTTCGTAAGGCCTTTGTATTTGGGTCTGAGGTCCTGAGTGTGTGAAGGGCTCTTTTTCCTGGCTATATTAACATTTATGATGACATTTTTTTCTTTGCTACCATATATATTTAATTTTGTACTGTATTGTAACTTTTACTTTATGATTGTTCACCACCCAGAATCACTTCTTTGAGATGGGAGGTTATAAAGCATGAATGAATGAATGAATGAATGAATGAATGAATGAATGAAATAGTTGTCCCACTGAGCAAGAGTGAATTTGCAACCTGATCAGAATATGCTGACCATTATTTGAGTAATGATGACTGGGATTTCACACCCACTTTTAATGATACAAATGGCTGTGCATGTTGCTTTACTGTATGTACTTGCCAGGACTTTCTATCTCTTTTCTAGTATAACTTATTGTGTCCCTCTGAAAAGTAATATTTGAAGACTACTTGTTAGGAGAAGCATTTCAAGTAATTAGAAACCTCCAACCAAAGGAAATTCACAAATCAACCACTTTATACTGATGTGTGCATACATGGTTCCCATCCTTTCATGGGATAATCTGGATCTTGCCAAAACGTTCAGCATTTGCTTCATTAATTGATTTTTTTCTTGGATATCTATTTCTTGCAAAATACGTGGCAATTAATGGAGAATGGGTGTGCAATTACTTTCCATTCTCTCTTGTAATTCTATCACATGATACAGGTACAAAAAGCATATCTTCTTTTATCAATTTGGTTTATGCCTGTGAAAAATAAAAGAAGGATGGCAGTCAGTGGATGACAGAAATTTCTTGTGAAAGTTCCGGTGTCTCCTTTTTAAAGTAGCTCTTGCTATCTCTTGCTAAAAGGTAAAAAGAGCTATGCAGTTTTTCATCCTCAGTCCAGAGCACAGGTGCCAAACTCATGGTGTCACTTTGCCGCCATGTGACGGTTCACGATGTCTTTTTCCCTTCGCAGAGCTGGGGTGGGCTTGGCCTGCGTGTGACGCATCCGGTGTGTGGGCCGCCAGTTTGACACCCCTGCTCCAGAGCAATAACATTCACTAGAATGTTAAACTTTTTTTCTTGAATCAGCATCAAATTGAAGTTTCTGCTAACTTTTAAGTTGATCCTAATTTTTAAAGCTCCAATATGTCGTGCCATCTATTTTATCATAATTTCTTAGAATTTTGGGCTTTGGGTGGCAAATGATTCACTTTCTACAGCATCGTAGTAAAAGAAATTAGGTCTTTATGGAGAAAATGATTACATAAAAGAATAATGTTTAAAAAATCAGTTAAATAAATTATTACCATGTTAGGGAGTAGTAATGCACTGAACTACACATTGTATCCGCAAGCAACTTTACATTTTATGAAATACATTTTATATTTTCTTGATTGTTTTGTTAATTTGTTGTTATTGGTAGGGATGCAAAAAAGACCCCTTTTCCAAGCTAAAGATTGGTCACCTTTCACTTTCACTGCCTGAAAGCTGCAATTTGTATTTTTTTTGTACTTGAGTACAAATCACCATTATGCTGTTTAATATCAGTTGTAAAAGATCCATATATATTTTAATTTTAATGCATGCTTCATTGTAAAATGCATGCTTCATTGTAAAACCCAGAAGTGCCAATTAGGAAATAATTCAGCCCTTCCTTCTGAATGCATTTGATGCAGATCATATCAAATGCATTCAGAATGAAAAGACTAATTATTCCATTTAAGATTGTATTTAAGATTATGTTCTAAGTAAGGTAAAAGTATTCTAACAGATATCAGCATCAGTGTTTCTCTCAGAGCTTAAATAGTTTATGAAGCAATTTAATTTTGGTTAGAGTATACAAATCTGTACTCTTTACACATGTGTATTTATTCATATTTAGTTCAATGAAGCATCTCCAGCATAGGTTAATATCTCCAACTATTACTTTTCTGTACTGCATAATATTCATTGTTGGTCCTTATAGTTTTTGCTCTTCAGGGTGTGAACTCAGAAGGGAATCTTGTGTTTTTTTAATTTTTTAACTATGAACTTTGCTTTCATTAATGACTTTTGCACACTTGCTTTCCTTTGGAAACTCAAGAAGCCTCTTTGGTGCCCATCCAACACCAGAATTCACTGGCCCTAATGACCACTAGAGGTCACTAGGTAGATACCGTAGCAAATATTAAAAGTTCATCTTCTGGTGAGTCAATAATACCATTCCAGTTGGTGCTGATCAGAAGTTTAAAAAAAAAAATCCTCGTCTATGTGGGATGCTGAAATGCTTGGTACTTTCTCAACTCCTATTAAACATCTAAATGAAACTTCTGGGTGATATCATCTATCACCATGGAGTGAGGTTCTACATTTCTGCCCCCGATGAGTTGCTGTTTATCTACACTCTTGGTGCCTAAACGCTTTGGGGTCTGGATGGGAACACTAGGTTTCAGCTGAACCCCCTGGCAAGACTGAGTGGCTTTGGATTTGAGAGCCTTCTGTATCTGGTGATTTAGCAATATTCATGCTCCAAGCCTAATAGATCCAGTGTGCAGCTTGAGGGTTCTTCTGGACTTACAGCTCCTACTCAAAGAGCAGATGGGAGTCATGGCTAAAAGGGCCTTTGCACAAATGGCATGTCCCTTATGCTCATTTCTGGATTTTGGAGGTTGTACTCATGCCCTAGACACCTCCCAAGGAGACTATTATAATATGCTCTACATGGGGCTGTCCTTGAAGAGCATCCAAAAGCTTCCGGTGGAGCAAAATGCAACAACACAGGCAGTTATGAATGTGAGATCTGCTCATGTGGCACCTTGGCCACCTGGCCTGTTTTGGTTGGCAGTTTACTTCCAGGTTAAATTCAAGGTGCTGATTATAACTTTTTAAGAACCCTACATGGTGTGGAATCAGGATATTTGAGGGACTGCCTCTCCCAGGTTACACCTACCTATTCCAATTCCATCAGGTCCAGGAGTGTGTTGCAGGTCCCACTGGCCAGATAATGTGAGATAGGTAGCTATGCAAATGTGAATAAATACATAAATAAATAACTCTCTACAGACTGGCATCAAGAATGTATTTGACAGCTAACCTTTTAGATCATCGCAATGGTGCTATACAAAACATTCAGTGACTCCATCTGAAATACCAAATTGTCTGTCTAGCTATCTAGCTATGTATGTATGTATGTATATATGTCTGTCTAGCTATCTATGTCTGTCTGTCTGTCACACATTTTTAAACTACCCATCTCCGCTAAGTGACTCCGGGCAGTTTACAATAGAACCACATCTTTTGCCAAATACTTCTAAAATGTGAACTTTAATTTAAAAATGGAAATATGAAAGAATGTTTCCAGGATCAATTTTTGTTTTCTCTGGTAAAATATTGGCAAGTATGATCTTTTTAAAATTATAAATATTGATCATTAACTCTGCTACAATATGTGTAACATTTGTAGTATTTGTATGAGCTAAATTGTCTTGGTGTTAAATATCAGATTTGTGTATTGAGGGTATTTCAATTTTATCTCCATCTCTTTGCCTGTCTGCCTATCTATTATTTATCCCTCCATCCTTTTCTGTAGACTTTGCCTAATATGGTTTATGCATATCAAAATCACAGAGTAATTAAAAATTAATGTAAGTTAATAGTAACGAGTTGAAGTCCAGAACTGAGTGTGTGCAAACCAAAGTGAAGGAATTGGGATCCAGCATATGTGTGTCACTGCAACAAAGTAGTATGGCAGTGATTTTCATGGGTTCCAACACCCCTGGTCGCTGGTAGTGTCACACACAATGTTCTAGAAAATATCCCAGCCATCTAGAACAAATTGGAGCAGGACACAGAACAGATTTTGGGGTTGTGATTAAGTAGAAATCAACCTTCCTTTTTATTTCAGGCCAGTCGGGTCATATAAAATAATGCAAGTAAAATGACATGTGTTGATAGTTTAGAAGAGGAAAGGGAATAAAGCAAAAACAACACAGCACAGAAATAATATGTTTAATATAAGGCTGCAAAATGCATCTTATAATTAAACTCAATGAAATTTGCTCTCAATCACACATCACACATCCTTCCTCCTAGCTTTCCCAATTCTATCCTATCAGAACTAGGGAAAAATAAAAACAAAACCAGACTCTACAGGAAACTGTTCCGTTTCTGAAGACCTGATGAGATAGTTGTATTTTTAATTTCTGTTCAGGGAGCAAATAATGAATGCAACACAATATCCTGTGACAATGTCATATATTTAGACAAGATGTTGGAAAGACAATGTGCATACTGTCACATATATTTATAGTACCTTGCAATTTGAGGAGAAAACTCAGAAAATATTCTGAGTCGGTTGTCAGATAGTACATGTCTAGGAGTACAGGTTATTCACAGTGGCACAACTCTGTGGGTACATTATGAAGAATGTAGCCTTACCTTACCATATTTGGTCACTGACTTCAGGCATTTTCTCCCAGCCTGCTTCGCTACTAATGAGAGAGAGAGATATTAAATAAATTAATCTGAGTAGCAGAGCACAAGTAGTCGTTCTCCTCATCTGAATACTCTTTTTGAAATTAAAAATGGACATTTTAAATTTATATGCTTTATAAGGGAATTGGCTATCATAAAAAGTGGCATCCAAGTTATGTCTAGCTTGGCCCTTAGTTTTATATGGTTAAATTAATTTGAAATGCTCATGTAAATTCATCATTAAAATCATTGAAGTGTCAATAGTGAATTCCAGTGCCCACACCACAGTTTAGTAAACCTTTACTAAGAATGATCAAATATCTCAAAAACAGCCATGAGACACCAACCACCCAAAACAGTAGATAATATACTATTAGAATACATACTGGATATTTATCAGGGACTTTATCAAACTGATAATCTAAAATAAAAATTAGCCATGCTTCTGTGGTATATCAGTTGATGTCTTTTTATCTCAAGCTAATAGATTTGCTTGTAATCAGATATGATGATCCCTATTCAGAATATCAGACTGAGCAATATGAGGTACTAGCTGGATACCCGTGCTTCACTATGAAACTATGTGATTGGACTTAGTTTTTGGAGAGGAAAATAAGGAGAAAAAAATTCTGGCTCTGCCTACCAGCATCCATCGGTATTCATATGGCTAGCGTCCTGTCAGTGTGTGAGAGAATTGAGGGTTGTTTGGAAACTGAAACAGTATTTACTGTGTGAGTAAGAAGGAGACAGCAAGGAGCCTGGGCATGGCTTAGCTCAACTGTTCTGTACTAAAGCTGGTTGCTGCTGTGAAACTGAAACTGGAACTCGTCTCCTCTGCTTGTGTTTTGCATTTGGAACAGATTTCTTTTCAGGTGGGGGCAACAGAGCGTGTTAATAAATACTAATGTTCTGATGGTCATTTCAAAAAATCCTTTCTTAGTGAGCACCTAGAAGCCAAGAGGACCATGCATGCCAAATTTCAAGTTTGTAGGCTTTATGGTTCTGGAGATTTTGTGGTGATGCATCAGTGGTATTTCACTTATATAGATAGAGAGATTCTGTGGCCCTTACCTGCTGAATTTTGGTATACATTGACAAACTATATTATTATATAGGAAACTATATAAAATTATATATTGTTATACAGGAAACTATGTTGTTAATTAGTATGGAATATATAACATTTTTCTTATATGCTCCGTATACCTTTTCTTGTCCCGTGGTATATTATCTAGAGATAATTTGTAGCCCATTCTAATCAGGAATATTTACTAGTACGGTTGAGAATTTTATTTTATTATTGATAGAAGGTGATTCTAGGATAAATCGGAAGATCTGCCTTCTATTTCAGTGCTGAAGCATAAAGATCTAACGCACTGCACAAGGCTTAGAATCTTGTATGTATGCAGCTTATGCTAGAATTTTATTGGTAAATAATGTTAATTCCTAAACATAGCCTTACTTCCCTTAAATCCTAGGAGATAGATGAATATATTAGCCAGGCCCGTGACAAGAGTTATGAAACTATGATGCGTGTTGGCAAGCGAGGATTAAATCTGGCAGCAAATGCAGCAGTTACTGCAGCTGCAAAGGTAACTCCTTATATCTGTATTTAATATCTGCCTTGCTTGGTAATTTTGGCGTTTCCCTTCCCTTCATTTTCTTACTGTCGACTAGCTACATGCCATTTGGTCTGTTTCTTCATGTTAGAGGAAAGACAGTCCCTTCATTTTCTATCCAAATTGTGTCATTGATTTTATTGCCTTTATATTTAGTTTTTCATCAAAGGTTCTTTCAGTGTTCTTTCAGTATATTTAGTTTTTCATCAAAGGTTCCCCTTAAGATGCATTATAATGTAGTACATATGGATAATTATAACTAGGAGTTGTGTTTTAAAGGGCCAGGGGGTTCTGTCTGAAAAACTTCGGAGTTTCAGCATGCAAGACTTGACTTTGATTCGAGATGATGACACAATGCATTTGCAAAGCCCCGAGTCACACATGCATACGTCTTCTAAGGGCCATCTTGAAACTATTGATGATTCAGGTTAGTGAAGTCAGTCTCTCTTAAATTTATTGATTTATATGTCTGATCAAACTAAGCACAAACTAAGAAGGTGGTTTATAATTTAAAGCAACACATGAACACACAAAAGATAATTCAACATACAATAAATGAAAACAGATAAATCAAAATCAGTACCTGTTATAGAAATGAATTGGCAAGAGACTTATTTTTATATATTAATGCTTTATAAATGACTTTATATTGTTCTATGGGTGCAAGTATAAGGGCCTTTGCATAAAAGTTTTAAGAGTCTGTCTTAAAAGAGAAGATAATTTACTTCTTGCATTTTCCTGAAAAAAAGAAAATATTATCTCCTGCATCACGTGTATTTTTAAAGTGCACAGTAGAGAAAAAGAAAAGCTGCTTAGAATAGATGGGTTGTGAAGCTACTGCTGCTCTTCAGTTATAATGGAGCAGAATGTCAATTATGGGGTTCAGAAATACATTTAATTTCATATTTCCCTTGACCTTGAGTTCAGTTCCTGTTATATAAATATACTCTTTTTTCCCTTGCCTCCCAACGCCTCTGTATCTTGAGTATCTTTTTTACCTTTATGAAGCAGTCCCACTATTGTTTTTCTCCTTAGGTGCCTCTTATTTCTCTTCATCTGAGGACATGGCTATGACTCAGAGACATAATGGAACACAGTCTGATTCTAGAACTGAACCATCTGATGATGATACAGGAGACAAAGTTCCCAAACGAACCCAGAGCCTTAAAGCTCCTAAGAAAACAATAAAGACTGAGGTGAGATGTCCCGCAGTTGTATGGATCCGCTATGTGTAGATTGCAGCTTCTTAAAAAATAAAGGGTATAAATAATTGAATCTTATAATGGCAGAAACTTACAGGCTTCACCATGCCACACTTTCCTTTTTACTTTACCACTAAGGCTTCAATACAGTGTCTGCCTTTCCCAATAAATCAGCCTTCATTTTTGTTTCACATTATATTTCCACTCAACCAGAATTTAAATAAATGAAAGAACTCTGATTAAAAAACATTCCTGTCTAGATATGGGTGTTAACCATTTCCTTATAAATAGTAACATGTGGCATGATTTGACTTGATACCATTACGTACATTGCAATTTCATCACTGTTTGGAGAGCAAACTCTTCCTTGAAAATGCTCACCTGAATGCAATCAGAACTGAGACTATACATTTTTCAATTGGGGGGTCAATATCTTGGTTGCAGAAGCGCCATTCTCATTAGGATATTTAACTAACAATACTAGTTCTATAGGGGTTGGACTAACTTAACCAACTAGTGATGAAACTTCATTCATCTTCTGTTTTTTTAGACATAATTAATTTGTTTTCAGGAAAGAAACAGAAATTAAATCCAATTAATGTGTTTAAGGCTGTTCAGCTAAAATTGCTTACCCAGCATTCAGTCTGATTATTAAAATTCACCAGAAAAGGAAGAGAAGGAATAGAACAGAATTACTCAAGTCTCCATGCCACTCAAAGGGGCAGTTTAAAGAATTAAAATGGAAACAATTCTCCTCCCTTTGCTTTAATGAGACAATTACAGCATTTAGTGTTGAAATGTTATCCCCATAGAAATATAGCTGCAGTTAGTGATTATTGTGTCTTCTAATTTTAAAATCAAAATCAGAACTGATAAGCATCTGTGTTCTTCATCCATGCCTTCTGTCTCCATATTTAATTGTTTAAACTCTTAACCCTTGAAAGCAGTTCTGCTACCTGAACTGAAGGGGTATTGGAAGGAAAGACTCCTATTCCTTTTTCTTAATTCCTTGTCTTTTCATGCTAAAATTGCTTAAGCTGATTGCTTGGATACTTATTAAATTTCTAGTTCACCTTCCCAATAAAATTCTTGCTAATAAAAATGGTATTACAATAATATTGACAATAGTAAAATAAGCATACAATTTTACCTCTTGTTTTTATTTGAATATGTTACTGCTGTTACATAACTTCCAGAGATCCCAATCACTAGTACAGTTGTTAAGAGTGGTAGTAGTAGTAAAACAGAGGATTTAAGACCCAGCATTTTTAGCAACGCTGCTCAGTTTTTGAAGCTGTTCGCCCAGTGGCCAATTAAACAAAACTGTTTTTCAAAATATATTTTTTGCAATTACTGTAATGTAATGTTGTGCATCTCTTGCTCTACAGCCTCCACAGAAGGCAGTGAAAGCCCGTCCCAAGAAGAAAGCCACAAGCTCCACTGCTGTTGGCGAATCGGCCTAAGGACAATCCAGCTGAAAGTCTGTCCCAGAGCGCTCTTCTGCCACTGTGAGGGACACTCTCCAAGGAATGGGAGCTGGGATCATGTACATAACAGCTACTGCTTTGTAGAGCTCATTCCCAGGCGAGATGGTGATTGAAATTTGGCACACAAATCAGAGGATGGCCATCCTCAGGAATTACATCCTCTTCATCTCTGTGATGGAAAATGCTAATCTGTCTGTATATAGCCTGTTGTTTTGGGATTCCCTCTCTATGAGTAACCCTAGTAGAGAAACTCTTTGCTGGAATACCTCTTTAATTAGGGTTAGAACCACTTTTGGCAGAGAGGCTGGTAAAAAAAAATATATAGTGCAATTGAAATTCTAATTTGCATGGAGAGCTCCTGATGTCATGATTTAGCTGCTATGGGGAATTGTTGGGAAGTGCCTGAAGCAAGGTGACCTGTACTGAAAACTATTGTTTCAAAAGTGTTTCCGCAAAAGAAAGAAGAAGTGATAGTTGGCTCTAAACGCAACATCTTCACTGTCCGTGAAGTGGGTTTTAGCAAAGAATTTCTTGGCAGGGGTGGGGTGGGTGGGCGGGCTGCCGTGACTTGAGGAAAAGACTAGTAGTGATGAGAATGAAAGTGGCTGGCTTTGCTACCAGTATCTGGTCTTTCTATGCAGAAGCCTCTTTTGCTTGGGTGGAATTATTGTGACTTTGCTTATGTTAAGTATTGGAAAGGGGAAATGTTTTTCACAAGTAGAGGAAAGGTGACAAGACTAAGTGAATCATGATTGGAATCCTACAGGAACGCCTGAGCCTAGATCACTCTCTCCAAAGAGTTAGAATCCTGAATAATTACAATCTTAAGTATCAAACCTTTGGGCCCCTTCTTCAGAGTTGCCTTGATATGTTAGGTTTTATAGATTGGTTTCTTTTCTGTAAGAATTATTTCAAAGAAGTGGTTATGTGAAAGCAGTTGGAGGATAGTAAGCTGCATGGTACATAAGTTTCTGCTGGCTTTTGTTTGCAGTCAGAATATAAGTTGAAGTTAATCAGTACCTCCAGGCAAGCTGGCCAAAAATAACAATCCTTTTTGGAGTTTTTCTGAGTGTCATTTTGTAATAAGTGGTAGGACATTTCCACTTATTCTAAATATTCAGCTTATTCAACTCTCAGGAATTACTACTTTCTACCATCCAAATCTTCCATTATTCTCTACTTGTGCTATTAATTTGGTAGAGACAATACTGTTTGATGTTAGGTGACCACAAGAATTCAGATTTTATATAGAATGATGATAGTACCTAATTTGGTAATGAAACACCTGCAAGAAAGCAACCAAGCTCAGAGAGAAACAAGGATCCTACAGAATTATAATAAAATCAGCGAAAGTAATCCTTAAAATGTACTGTTTCACAAACTTCAACATAAATACAATAATCTAAAGTTAGGAAGCTTAGATAAATACTAGTGACTCTGATTTTTATTAGGGCAGCTCCATTTTATGAATACTGTATACATCAAGGCCATCAGTCTTTAAAGATAAAGCAAATCTTTGCCTATTAGGTTTATTCACAAGATCTTAGGTGGCAGTACCAGCTTTTAGATATCCAACATAACCCTTCAGTGTATTGTTTGAAAACTTTTTTCCTAGCACAGGCTACCACATTTACTAATTTTTAAACACGTTTGTTCAAATTAATCTATACTGAGTTCAGTGGGAAGCATACTTTCCAAAGTTGCCTCTTTAAACTAATTCTCATTTTGCATTGTTGTTATAAGATGCAGAAATCATTAAAATTACAAAGGAATTTCCTCTAAAGAAATAGTTTTTTATTTTTACTTCCAGTCAATTACTCATCCATCCACTTGTGTTGAACTTCTGGTTTGGACATCTGTCAGTTTTTTTTCCGCAAGAACAAAGAGAATATTCACAGTGTATTTGCTGTTCTCTTTCCTTCCCGGCAGTGTTTAATGCCAAAGACTTGGCAAACAATTTAATACATTTTCTAATTTGTCAAGGATGCCCTAAATATGAAATTAGCCTTTTCGTAGTTGGAAGATTGAGTTTGCTGAGAATAAAAATGTAGAAGGCTGCTGTACTTTCTAGTTAGTTGATTGTTCTTTCCCAACACTGCAATTATTCTTGAGTGGTCCTGTTTATAAGGGGTTTTGGTATGAAACAACTCCATTTCTAAATATAAAATACGATGAGGGAAGAGAAGTGCAGTTGGAGTCTGGCTTGACTGTACTGAAAACCTTTGTATTTCTGCAGTATTAGAGAGGGAGTTGTGCTCCCTTCCAGAGTGAAAGATGCCTGGCTTTATCCAATTGCTCTTTGTGTTTTACAGCACATTCTGATTTTTTGTTTATACATGCCTTTTATTTCTCACAACATGTATATTAGATTGCTCCTGGGAGTCGTGATTCTTTGTTTATCAATGATTTGCACAGAATTTAATGGATTAGGTTCATAACCACCATTCTTGTACATTATTCTCTGTTTCTGCAGTGTTAGTAGTACTTTCCTGGATAATTAAAGCTCCTGCAAAGGGCTTGTCATTCTATAAGTTCACCTTCTCCCCATCCCATCAAGTCTAGTCTTGAGAAAACTTCCATTGTAAATTTTCAAATTAGCCTGCCTTGGATACACTAGTCATTTACATTATTTGTTCATGTTCCCATTGCAGCCTAGTTTGTGTGTGTGTGTGTGTGTGTGTGTGTGTGTGTGTGTGTGTGAAATTCCCTTCTCACCCCATGAATTGTCTGCGTCTTCATCAATCTTGTGTCTTCTACCAGAGGCATGGACGTTTAAGGGTTTTGTGCAGTATCTTAGCTCTTCCTAGCACTGTACTCTTCTAGGCAGAGGGCTCTGATGTTGGAGCCCTTCTCCTAGCTTAAGAGCCCTTGGGACCTTTTTGGCCTTTATAATTCACATCCTCTCTAGTTCCTCCTTCAGGCTGTGGTTCTTTTCCAGCATCTCATACTCCTCCTTCCTGATGTTTCTGTCACTTGACATATCTATCACCCAGGGGTGGGATTCAAATTTTTAACAACCGGTTCTGTGGGCGTGGCTTAGGTGGTGGGTGTGGTTTGGTGGTCATGTGACTGGGTGGACATGGCTTGGTGGTCCTGTTATTGGCTGGGCGTGGCCAACTCAATATAACTCACATCAAGGCATGCATCTCCTTGCCTGGCCTCTCATGACTGTGGGGATGCTGCAACAGTCGTAAGTGTGAAAAAATGGCCATAAGTCACTTTTTTCAGTGCCATTGTAACTTTGAATGGTCACTCCACACAAGCAAAGTACCAGCAAAGGAGGGGGAAAAAACTCCAGAGAAGTTCCTGAGACAGGAAGTCTAGTCCTGCCAAGCATGTAATAAGGGTTAACGGAGAGGCAGTTTCTGTAAGCAACACCAGAATATTTCCTTCCTGCCTTCCTTACAGGATTAGGCCAGTAATTCTTCTAACAACCAGTTCTCCGAACTGCTTAGAATGTTAACAACCGGTTCTAGCGAATAGATGCGAACTGGTAGAATCCCACCCCTGCTATCACCACCGCTATCTACTGGTCCTTGTCTCCCTCCCTCCCTCCCTTCCTTTCTTTTTTCCTCCCTTCCCTTCTCTCTCTTCCTTCCCCTCCTCCCGTGTGTATTTGTGTATGATACTCATGACTATTCACTTTTTTGACAGGTTTTCTTTCAAGAACATTATATCACTGACCTGCATTCAGCTTTGTAGGTATATGTTACAGCCTTAATACATCTTTCATTTTGGTTGTCAGACTGAATTTAAAGGATGTGGAAGCTGTGTTACATGGTTCCTGTATATTTGGCTTTGTGTTCATTTCGGTGCTGAAGATGTAGCTTCTTTTAACTTATTTTTGTATTAATTAAAAACAGTGTCCATGATTTTCTTCAACATTATTTGAACTTCTATTGCAAATGAGAGGAATATTAGTATATTTCACATGGCTCCTATTCATTTCTGAGTTTTCAAGATTCCTAGGATGATTCAGTGCAGTAGATTGGTATTCAAATTCTTTATTTGAAATTCTTTTTTTCTGAATGAATGCAGCCAAAACACATGGTATTAAATATATAGTTTAATATTTTGCTGAGTTTTAAAAATCGTAAGTATCAATTGAAACAGAAAAAGGAACTAATCAGGTATGGACATATAGGGAATGATATCTAAGTTTTTCCTTGTACACTAGACCTCAGCAAAAACTTCCTTTCTCCAGCTGCTAATTGATATAAAAAGGAAAAATCTAGTTAGGTTCAGTGAAAACTTTAAGATTAAATGTTTGGCATGGAAAGAAAGGAATAATTTTTATTGGTTTCCTAATGCAGATCAATCTCCCTTTCCAGCAGTTGTTATTTATAGTGAGAAAAAGTTACACAGATTAGCTATTAGTAATCCATTCTGGGAGTGAATAATTTCCTTGCATATAGCATATCAGATCTAAAAGATAAAAATCTGAACAGCAGCTACTGGGTAACAGCAAAGAATTAGAATTTATTGTCATCTAACGATCCATCAGAGATATTTTCAATCAAGTCCTAATAGCCCTATTAAATACATTTTTGTTAAATTCCAATACTGTTATGGACAATTATTTGGACTATTGTACAAATCTGTGGTATGAAAATAGAAACACTGTGAAGCATATGTGCATATAAAAAGATATTGTAAAACTACAAAAGATGTAGAAAATGACAACATCTCCCCTCTGTGGAAAGATTACAATGCTGGTTTTTCTGTTTAGAAAAATGGCAAGTAGGAGGAATATGATAGCGGTTTATGGAATTATGCGTAGCTTCTTCCCTCTTTCATAGTATTAAAACTCAGCGCCATGCAGTGAAGTTAAATGAGGAAGTTCAGGACAAATAACTTTCAGCATTTCTGCACACAACTCATAGTGGACAACTTTGAGGGTTTGGATAAATGCATGGAGAATCATATCCGGCCTGGACTGTTGCAGGATTGTGATGCAAAATCTAGTCTTTACATACTAGTATGCAACAGTAAAGAAAGTACAAAAAGACAAAGTTTGCATTGTGATGTCACAAGTTTTACCATTTTGGCTGCGTTAGGAACAGACACATAAGTGGAGAATAATTATTAATTATGACAACTATCACATGCTTCTGA